AGAAATTTCAGCACAGGGAAAGGGATTCGTCACTTCTGTATCACTAAGGTCAATTCACAAATTTGAGCATATACATGGACTCATCTGACTCACACACCAGCCTGTTAGATTTAAAGGAACACACACTGAATCACTCCTAATAAGCATTGTGGCCTTAAGGAAAATATCCCTACTTTATATCATCCAGACAGAATTAGAAATTAGATACTTCTCAGGAGATTATCTTCAGTGCTTACTAAAATATACTCATTTTTTTTTGCTTGACAGATTAGAGATGCTCAATATATGGGAACATTTGAAGCAATGACCTTATCAGTTCTAAAACTATACACATATTTTAGACCATGGAGTCTAAATATATCACATTTCTAAACCTCCTCCTACAACAAACTCAGAATTTCATTCTTTTTTCTTTTTTTTAACTTGAATATACAGAGGTTATTCTAAAAAGACTTTTTCAGGTTTTAGTTAAGAATCACCTTTTCCCAAGTTCTATAAACCCTGTGATTTAAAAACAAATTATACTAGAGTTTATTCAATCAAAATTTGCATAAATATATTATGTTATCTTTAAAACAATGTCAAATCACAAACAAGACATTTAACTGACAGAGTTCATTTTATTTTTCCAGATGAGAATGAAAGAAATTTGCATGAAAGATCTCCCACACAATCTTCAGCTCTCCCAGTGGTTTGCTAATATGTTTGCAAGTGGCATTGCACCTGCTTTTATACAAACATCTTTGATGCCAACAGCATCCAATGCATCAGGGCATTGTCAAAGAAGTAGCTGCATAACAAAGAGCTCAAATGGATATAATGAGATATGCTCTATGATTGAGCACCTGACACTGTAGCCAGATATTTCTCAAATGAGAAATCCTTCTTCATGATCAATGTGCTTTCCAAAATTTGGCCAATCTGACATGCCCTTCGGCCACCTGTCTCCTCTGGATGTTTGGGTGGATCTCATAATGAGTATTTGAGCTTACGGTGAAGTGTGTCTAATCCATCTCCTGATCTTTTCACCCCCTGTGGAAAACTGTGAACATCTCACCTAAAAAAATTTCAATTTTCCTTCATGCATGCATGATGAGTAGGGTAAGTCATTAATTCAAGAAATATTTTTGATTACTGATTTAATAGAAACTCTGATTTTACATACTTTTTTCCACAAACACAATTCCATATTTTCACGTACCTTCAAATTCCTGCCCCGTTTATATCAGTTAACCTTATTTTTTAAAATTGATACTGTATTCAAGGACTGTATTTGTTGTTGATATTTCTATTATACCAGCCCCAGAAGCATCATTAAGAAAAATTCATGAATATAATTAAGGAAAAATCCTTTTGAATGTTGACCGTTTTATGGACGTTAGGTTTAGCATGGCTTATTTGATAAGATAATTATCCCCTAAAATTAATAAAACTGACTTGGAAAGCCTTTCTGGTTAAGTGTTTTTACTGAAGATGATATGTTTTCTTTGGTTCTAAGGTAGTGATTCTAGGGAGCTTATGTACCCAGATAGACTGAAATAGCAAGGCTCATCCTAATATGGAAGCAATACAGTACGGGGACAGATTTGGACTATGGCATCACTCCATTCGGTTTATCCACTTTGGCTGGTGCTCAGCTTACATGTCTCCTATCCCAGGAAGCTGTCTGAGTTTCCCAAATGCATTTAGATGCTTTTTTTAAAAAATCATTTTTTCCTTCATTGTACCTTGCCTATGTCATTTTGATAACACTTGTTAATATTACTTCATTTATGTGTAGTTTTCTTTCTTTCTTTTCAGTTTCAGAGGCTTTGAGCATGAAAGGATGTGGCTTATATATCTGCATCTTCAGTATCTTATACATCTGGCATATAGTAAGTGTGAGAAGTGTATGTTGATTAAATAATAATAGGATTCTCATTGAATCGTATGATTTGGAGTTCCTGCTTTAAATAGGCATTTATTAAACTGCATAAAGGATTCAGTTTTTGAGTCTGGAACACAAACTTAGCTACTGGGAACACAAAGATTTTGGGGAAAAAAGCTGTTTGCATCATAACATCATCTTGTGACCTGAGTTTTAACTCAGGGAAAGATGAAATTCACATTGCCCAAAGTAAGAATGATGAAAGTTGAGAGAAGAAAGCTATTCTAGAACTCATTAAAAGAGAACTGGCATTGATCACTTCAGGTACACCAATATATTGACATGATTAAGTTTCTAGAGACTATGTCTACATTTCTGCTTCCCAGCTGTATTTATGATAGAGACATCATATTACTGGGATGTAATCTACAATGGAAGGAATTTTACCTATCGACTCTAAAATCACAAGTTAAATCTGGCAAATGTTTGTTCCTAAAGCAACAAACAGAATTTTACATACTTAGTGAGAATATGAGTAGGGGTGAACACTGTCCAGAACTAGTAAAGTCCATGGAAACAGTTCATCCACTAACCTATTCACCATTTCAAACAAGCCTTCATTAGTTGTCATTATCTGTATACATACTACATATTTCCTTCTGACTTCTTGTCCAATCCCTTTTGTACAAGGCAATCGCTACTGCTGGAATCAAATATTCATACATTGAGAACTCATTTCCCATGATGCTTTAGAGTTATCATTTGACATCAAGTTTTGCAAGATTTACTATAACCTTAGTCTTAAGATTCATATAGATGAACAACCTAATTAGCTATTATTTTTCACTTACAAGTAGTCTGTCTGAACACAGACTTTTTAATGCATATCTTGATACCATAGCAAATTGTTATCACAAGGTAACTGTGTCACTGGAGGTCCTCAAGAAAAGCCCAATAGGATGGTAACGGGTCCATTTTTTTTTAACAGTGATAATTAACATCAATGTAGTAATTTATATTTACCTTACCATGGCCATACCACTTGTGGAATCTGAAGCTACCCTAGCCCCACCTATTGGCTGTAAGTGTTTCCTATATCTGTAGTCATTCTGTTACTAACTTCTGTAGTCTCTATTCTCAACACCTGCAGTCACCACAGTCCAATGGGGCAAATGTCTCTATCCACTAAGCCCGGTACCTACTATCCTCAAAGTGACTGTTGATGCTCAGATTTCCTCACCATCAGTGGTTAATGAGGAAAGTACAAACCACATATCCTTCTCAACGATTTATATTCTTCTACAAGACCCTGCCCATAATTTTCTGTAATCACTGACCCATATGACTATAGTCTCTTCTCCGTGCCAACAACATGCTTCAATATTCTCATGATAACTACTCATTGATTACATTCAGGTAGCTAGCCTTTTGTCACTTCCTATCACATCTACCTTACATTCCATGATGCTTCATTTGATTATTATCCTGAATTTCATTGCTCTTATGACTTTTCATCTCACCTATTCTAGCAAAACCTCAAGCCTATAGGAACTGAGCTGCCTGCTTTTTCTATGATATAACATCCAGATAATAGAATGCTAATGAAAAATACCACAAAACAGGCAAGATCAATTCCAGTATAAATATTAAATCACTAAGCTCTAATCAACCTTAAAAACTTCCAGAAGTACACGACAAACTTGACATCTTCTCTCAATATATCAGAAGTACCTGGGACTCAACATTTCCAAACCTAATCTAGTAAAACATCTCCCATAAACTGCTCTTCTTCCAGTTTTCTTTTTCGGTAAATGGGACCCACCTTTTATCTAAATGAACCCTGCATCATCCTCGATAATCTCCTTTTTCTAACTTTCAACATTAACTCTTCTCAAATAGTTGTTGATACCATGTCCTAAATATCTATCATTTTCCCCACATCTCCCACAATCATACTAGTTCATACTAAGATCATCTTGCCTGAATAGATCTTAAATTCTCAACTGTATATCTACTCGTTTATTACCTATTATCTGTAAGCTTACTAGACTGTGAGTACCATCAGACCAGGTTTTTTTTGGTCCATTTTTACTATTTTATCTCTAATATTTTGCAATTTTTCTTTGCTTATAATGAGCACTTAATAATTATTTGCTGAATGAATTAGTGAATAGATAAATGAATACAATTAAATTTATAAATAGTATTATAATAACCATAATCAAGTATGAAGTATTAACATCTATATTCTGTAAGATAAAAATCTGAAATTCAACAAAAGCCAAAGAAGCAAAGAATTATTAATTTGGATTTCAAGTTTAGGTTTTCTCAATTTCACTAACTTTAACTCCTGAGTAATCCTCCATTTTAGCACCATGATGTATATCAAAACCTCAAAATTTTTTTTTATTTTTATTTTACTTACAATATAGACTCAGAAAATATAGTCAATTCTTAATGTAATTATCTATGAACATAATGATAATAATAATTCCTGAAATAATAAATCCTGTGGAAGGCATTCTACCACTTTAAAAACATACCATTTACTGCAAGTGCTTTCACCAGAAATATTTTAATTTTGTAAATGGAAATGTTTATATAGCCAATACTCCAAATTGATTGATACTAAAATGTATAAAACATAGTCATCATGAAAAGGAAAAGGAATTAGAGCAGAAAATAACAAAACTAACATTTTCTAAGCCATCACTATTTTTTTCAATCATTTATTGAGTGTTTGCCATCTTGTAGACATTGTGCTAAGCAATTTACATGTGCAGTGAAATAGGAACTATTATCATCCCTATTTTACAGATAAGAAAATTGAGAAATAGAGCAAACAAAGCCAGGAGCCAAATCCAACTTCTGTATGATTCCAGAGCTGCACTTAACATTCAATTGCCTCCCCGATAAGTAGTTAAGTCTTTCATTTTGAGCCATTACTTAGTGAAAAATCGACAAAAACACTTTTTACTACTAACAGCATCTGATAATGAGACATTTCAATTATAATCAGATGGCAAAGGAGAATACTATATACATTATGAAACAGCTTTTCAAAAGAAAAAAAAAAGAAAAAAAAAAGAAACAGCTTTTCTTGATATTTAAGGAGCAAATTGTTTAGTCTTACCCATGAATTCAATCCCCAAGTGGTCTGCTACACCAAAGTCAGCATGTAAGGAAGAGAAACAGAAAAAGAGAAAAGATTAGAAAAAAATCCACACAGAAGTCAATGCTTATAAGACTGACCTTTCAAGGCAAAGAATACGTCTTTATTTTAGCAAGATCATTTACCGATTGCCAACAAGTAGGGCTGCTCTGAACACCGACTTGTATTTCCCAATGGCCTGGAGCTTTAGATGAAATAATACTGCATCAATTACCAATTATGCTAAGTATAAATTTGGCAAAAAAAGAAAGGAAAAAGAAAGAAGAAAAGTAAAAGAAAAAATGTTCACACAAAGAACATCTGACAAAGTTATTGTCAGAACTCATATTTTATGTAGAATAACTACTTGTTCAATATGAATTTATCTGGATCTCTATGTTAATGATATGCCAATAAAGAACTTCGTAAAAAAAAAAAAAAGAACTTCTGTAGGACACCTTAACCAGGCCCTCTTCACCTTCACAAAAATGAAATGCTACTGGATTCCCCCCCCCCTTGATTTGTTAGATGAGAAACCTGGGGTTCAGTGAGACTAAAGTTTACACTTGTCTCAAAGACAGCAGGTCCAGGGCACAAATCCAGTCTGTCTGACCGGTTGTCAGTCTTAGGACTATTAAACTTGGCAGTGCTTCTTATCAAAAATTGCATGACAGATGTGTCCACGTCTATTTTCCATGCGTGTGGACAGCTGACCATTCTGACCCAGTAAATGCTAATGTCTGTCTGTGGTCACAGTGACAAACTGGGCCTGCCTATACCCAGGCATTCAGCCATAGAGTCTGTTTATTTAAATGGTGCTTTCTCTTAATTATTCAGTTATTTGCTAGTTCACTTTTAAAATTCACTGTATTATTTAATGATGGTTTTTGTTGTAGTAATCTATTTCTTAAATGAGAATACATTTAAAAAAAGTATTGCTACAATCGTATTTGTTTCTAAGACTAATTACTGGGCTTCCTTTTCTGAATTTTCTATTTAGCAAAGAAGCTTTTCTTTTTAGAAGATATGCATTCAGTCATCTTGATTATCTTAGTGCCTTTCCTAGTTGTAAATAATTCATTTTTAAATTTTATTGTGGCAAAATACACATAACATAAAACTTGCCATTTTAACTGTTTGGAACGCTTTCGTGACATTACTTACATTGGCAGTGCTGTTCAACCATCACCACTGTGTTTCCAAAACTTTTCTGTCACCCCAGAGAGAAGTTGTACCCATAAAGCTAGAATTTCTCACTACCCCTGCCCACCGACACACACACACACAAGCCCCTGGTGACTCCTAATCTACTTTCTGTTTTCATGGATTTTCCCAGGAGTAGTTTATTTTTAAAGTAATTAACTGAGACATGTCTTTTATATAAAGAAAGAACATAACAATGTTTTTTAAGAGTAGATGCATTATTTTTTTTTGACATGATGTTTTTGTGACTTCTCACGGTATACTATGGTAGAGGCCTAGCACGCTTTTGTGAAAAGATAGTCTCTTTGTTCTCAAGTAATTCAGAAACCAGAGGGAACCCACAGACACAAAGCTTTGTTAATTCTCTGTGATAGTGCTATTATGGAAAACCAGAACATACGCACTGGCAGGAGAGGCCAAGGACCCATGGCTTGCCCTAGGGAGAAACAATATGCCATGTGAAAGAATGGGATGGTCAAAAAGTTGCAAGACCCTGTGTGGGTTGTTGTGTGAATAAGAAACTTCCTGATTGTGTGCATGTGGGGCCCTTGATAGAGAGAGAGAGAGAGAGAGAGAGAGAGAGAGAGAGAGAGTAGAGCTGTGGATAGGTATTTCAGTGAGATTACCTATCATGAAACTAAAGGTAAGGAAAGAAAAAGATTTGGGATTAAAAACAAAACAAAAACCAAACTTTTGCAAATGGTCAGCATGGATGTGCAGGAAAGAAATCACGAGAAGAAAGCATATAGAAATATGGGAACAGAGCATCTCAAGTAGTGGACCACGATGTCGATGACTGGGCAGTTAGAAAGCCATTGGGCCCTCAGCCGGGTTGAGCAATACCCTCCTGGGTTGCTGAGGTGGTTCAGAAATGGCTGTTTGTCTACTCTCTGTTTTGCCAGCAAAAAGAACCAAAGATCACTCTTCATTCTTTCTCACAGTCTGGGCTGCCCCACCTCTCTATGGGGCAGGGCATATGGAGGATTAGGCCTGGTGAGTCTGCACATTGAACCAAGAAGTGAGCGGCAAGCTTGATAAATTTGAGGGCAGTCTTAATTCTTTAAGCCACCATGAATTCAGGGCTGGGAGAAAGACAAAGCACAAAGGACTTCTTAAGGAAGTCTTCTCTTAATGTAGCAGAAAAGCTACATCTAATTACTAGAGTTGTAACTCTCAGAAATACTACCAAGCAAGGTGGCATTTATCTTCTTGAATTTTATAAAGAAATGATTTATTTTTATAATGATATTCATGAAAATTGATACCACCAAAACATACAAATAAAAAGATTATTTAAAATCTTGCTCTCTCTCTCATGTGCATACATGAGGCAAACACAACAGACACATGCACACACTTCTATCATTTAATGAAAGTGCTAAAAACTGTGATCATTGTTACAGGTCTAAAGCTACTGATGTACTTTGTTTTACACAAAAGGATAAATGAAAATTCATAAAGAACATGAAAGAAAATCAATTAATTTTGACTATTGAGTCATATACAGAATATTATGAGTAATATTTCTCGTAACCCTTCACTGGTTATTTCATTCTTTTCTTTCTCCCTCTCTCTCTCTTTTTTTTTTTAGAAAGGGAGAGAAAGGGGGTGGCAGGGTTAGAGGTAGAGGGAGAGAGAGAATCTTAGCCCAGTGTGGAGCCCAACGTGGGGTTCCATCCCACAACCCTGAGATCATGACCTGAGCTGAAATCAAGAATCAGAGACTTAACTGACTGAGTCACCCAAGCACCCCTCGCTGGCTATTTCTTAAAGCAAATAGACTTCCTGGGGATATTCATGCCTGCATAACAACATCAAGAGGAATATGATGAGAATTAATTAATTTCTCATTTATTTATTCAGTCAACAAAGTACCTGCCAAGAATTATACAGATACTGGCGTGGAAGAGGAGCCACATAGATAAGCAAAAACAATTTGATTTCCCCTATGGCATGTATTAGAATATGTAATTTCTATCATTTTAACAGTATAAATATATATATATATATATATATATATATATATATATATATATATTTGATTTTTGGAATTTGATTTGCCAACATATAGCATAACACCCAGTGCTCATCCCATTAAGTGCCCCCCTCAATGCCCATCACCCAGTCACCCATCCCCCTGCGCACCTTCCCTTCCACTACCCCTTGTTCACTTCCCAGAGTTAAGAGTCTCTCATGTTCTATCACCCTCTCTAATTTTTCCCACTCATTTCTCTCCTTTTCCCTATGATCCCTTTCACTATTTCTTATATTCCCTGTATGAGTGAAACCATATAATGATAGTCCTTCTCTGATTGACTTGCTTCGCTCAGCATAATACCCTCCAGTTCCCTCCACGTTGAAGCAAATGATGGGTATTTGCCGTTTCTAATGGCTGAGGAATATTCCATTGTATACATAGACCACAGATTCTTTATCCATCATCTTTCAATGGACACCGAGGCTCCTTCCACAGTTTGGCTATTGTGGACATTGCTGCTATAAACATCAGGGTGCAAGTGTCCCGGCGTTTCATTGCATCTGTATCTTTGGGGTAAATCCCCAGCAGTGCAATTGCTGGGTCATAGGGCAGATCTATTTTTAACTCTCTGAGGAACCTCCACACAGTTTTCCAGAGTGGCTGCACCAGTTCACGTTCCCACCAACAGTGCAAGAAGTTCCCCTTTTTCCACATCCTCTCCAACATTTGTGGTTTCCTGTCTTGTTAATTTTCACTATTCTCATTGGTGTGAGGTGGGATCTCATCGTGCTTCCCTGATGGCAGGTGATGCGGAGCATTTTCTCATGCGCTTGTTGGCCATGTGTAGGTCTTCTTTGGTGAAATGTGTGTTCATGTCTTCTGCCCATTTCATGATTGGTTTGTTTCTTGGGTGCTGAGTTTAAGAAGTTCTTTATAGATCTTGGGCACTAGCCCTTTATCTGATACATTATTTGCAAATATCTTCTCCCATTCTGTAGGTTGTCTTTTAGTCTTGTTGACTGTATCTTTTGCTGTGCAAAAGCTTCTTATCTTGATGAAGTCCCAATAGTTTATTTTTTATTTTGTTTCTCTTGCCTTCATGGATGTATCTTGCAAGAAGTTGCTGTGGCCAAGTTCAAAAAGGGTGTTGCCTGTGTTCTCCTCTAGGATTTTGATGGAATCTTGTCTCACATTTAGGTCTTTCATCCATTTTGAGTTTACCTTTGTGTCTGGTGTCAGAGAATGGTCTAGTTTCATTCTTCTGCATGTGGCTGTCCAATTTTCCCAGCACCATTTATTGAAGAGACTGTCCTTTTTCCAGGGGATAGCCTTTCACCCTTTGTCAAATAATAGTTGACCATAGAGTTGAGGGCCCATTTCTGGATTCTCTGTTCTGTTCCATTGATCTATGTGTCTGTTTTTGTGCCAGTACCACACTGTCTTGATGATCACGGCTTTATAATGTAACTTGAAATCCGACATTGTGATGCCCCCAGCTCTGGTTTTGTTTTTCAATATTCCCCTGGTTATTTGGGGTCTTTTCTGATTCCACACAAATCTTGAAATTATTTGTTCCAACTCTCTGAAGAAAGTCCATGGTATTTTGGTAAGGATTGCATTGAACGTGTACATTGCCCTGGGTAGCATAGACATTTTCACAATATTTATTCTTCCAATCCATGACATGGAATATTTTTCCATCTCTTTGTGTCTCCCTCAATTTCTTTCTGAAGTGTTCTGTAGTTTTTAGGATATAGATCCTTTACCTCTTTGCTTAGGTTTATTACTAAATATCTTATGGTTTTAGGTGCAATTGTAAATGGGATTG